TTGTCTTCACCGTAACATTAACATTCTCATAAGTTAACACGTTTCGGACCGCTGCACATGATGCAGTACGCTGCTTTAGAGGATCTTTCTGACGTTTATAGAAGGTTATTTTTCTTTCTAAGATTATCAAGTCAAAGGCCAAGGCTCTTACTTTCCAGGTGGCTCTATAGAGCTGCTTCGCCGGTATGCGTTTAGCAGATATGAGAGCAAATCGAGCAACATTGCAACAAAATGCGACAACAAAAACGCCGTGTGCGATATCGCAACTTTTGTTTGCTTTGATTGCAAGGCGAAAACCCGTAATTATGATAATGATGTGTACCCTGTTCAACAAAGATGCTCTTGGATACTATTAGAGATTGAGATCTTGTTCCAATTTTTCGAAAAAGAAAACGCTCTTCTTAGGCAAAATTTCAAACACTTAGAATTCACAATTCACAATTCAGGACATGGGGTATGGAACTAATCTGACATGCTGATTACAAATCTAGCACACAGTCTGCGAAATTAGGTCCTTTTGTTGGCTAACCGCTGAAAGTACACTCTTTTTCGCTACGCGCGGTTTCGCGGTCCGAAACTTGTTAGGCCAGACATACCGTAACATCCGATTCCTGATACTTGTCAAAAATTCGATTACACTCCCTGAAAAGCTCTGCCAACGCGCAAAAAAATTATGTAGTGAAATCAGCATGTATGAATTCCGAACGGCCTTTCTCACAATGGTTCCATACGGTGCAGGTTCCCACCGTAATCCCACAGCGATAAAGAGAGCTTGGAGGTTTGTTACTTGCTGCAAAATTAAGTTCCTTTTCGAAAGGTTACATGGTAAGAGACTTATTAACAATCAAGCAGTGGGCAGGGGGACACCCTGTATAGCAGGAGAATCGCACACTCGCCTTAGAGCTATGGCGGCTGGCGGCGGATCTGGTCTGGTGAGGCCCCGGGCGATACTTGGTTAACTCTTTCATACCTGGCGGTGGCAATCGCCACCATCCCACCACAAAATTGAAGGACTGCACCATCACTATGAGAGCATGTTTCTAGCACTTCTATTGCAGCAGCTTTGGATGGACTATTGCTTTCTAACTGCGCGTCCATTCGCAATTTTGTTCATTCTGCACTCAGTATTAATAGCAGTTGTGCACGAAGCAAAACTGAATCGCGCTCGGCTTTGTAAGGCGTGCGAACTTTCTCGAACAATGTGTTTTTTATTTATATTACTATCGGAACCTTGAGTATGAATTGTTCGAAAAATAATTCGCAGTTGTTTGCGAGTCCTGTGTTGCCGCTTTGTCAT